ATTTGTTTACTATATTCGAATCTTATTGCAGACAGCTTTACTCATGGCAGAAAGTGAGGAAATCAAAGGGGTAAATTCTTGGCCAATTTGCTATTGGCACAGACCGAGAAAGAGCACGAGCTTCTTCATTTTTTCACGTGTCAAATAAAATTCCTTCTCTTTTCTGTTTTTGTCATGTTTCTTTTTTTTCTTTTATTTTTTCTGTTTTTTTGGTTGCCCTCTTATTCTTCACTACCCACATTAAGATTCAGACTAAAGTTGCATTCGCGCTGCATCAAACCAGTAAAGAGGAAGCTCTTCCGGCTAAAATCTTTTTATTTTCAAAGCTCAAACTCGAGAACTCTGGATCCTAGCAGTGGCACAACAATCCTTAGTGATCTCATATTTCAAACTTTGCATAATTACATAATTTCTCAAAATCCACTTATTCGAATAGCGTTACAAGTGTTTGTATGATCATTTCATTTGAAACTTAAGTGATTAAAGATCAGACTTTTATTTACTTAATTATATATTTTCGAGGGGAGGCACAAGGCAATATATAACTGCATTAGTGGATCAAGAAAATGAGAGAAACCCTGTAGAACTGGAATCATCATCTCCTGTGCTAGGGCTAGCCTTCTTTTGTTTCTTCTTATACGCAATGCCACGGGCCTTAGCTTGACACTCTTTCACTTCCCTAAGATACACGCGAATCGCAGTGCTAGCAAATGGATTCGTCTCAGGCGAGCCGCCATTTTCTTCGTAGGCAGCTCGAAGCCTACCGATGAGTGCATCAAGGCTTCCCCAAGCTTGTCTGAGCGGACAAGTACAAGGAGCCGGTGGCTCGGGTTGTCCATAGAACATACAACCTTGTAAATGAACCTTAGTCTTTCCAAACTGGTCCAGGTATCCAAGAAACTCTAGTACGTGGTTGCCATTGCACTGAGATAGCGGAATTGGTTGCCTCTGATTCCTCAAGTACTGATTAAAAGTGTTCCAATCTCGTCGTTTTTGGGACTCGTATCGACTAGGTGTTGTTATCGATTGATCTCCTGGGGATCTTGAGGATCCCTCAGCTAAATCTTTGCCTCTATCACTACTTGACATGACTGGAGAGGAATTGAAATAGATCGAGAATATTGATCCTAAATGTGTGAGAAATATGGAGAGTTTAAACAAAGGTTGAAGGAAACAGGTGAAAATGGAGGGATGAAATTGTTGAAATCACATCAATATGGACCTATTGATTGACAGGAAATGGGCCATATATGAGTTGATTTCTAGCTGCTTCATCATATGTTTTATTAGCCTTTTTCATGTAAAAAAAAAAATGTTTAACATTGCCATTATCTATACGTTTTCCGATAATCTACAATTATTGTATGTAATTTTGTCAATATTATCTATCACTAATTTCCAAAACGTGATCTCAATTAGTATGTTTTTAAAGGGGATAGCGACTCAGTAATCCCACGAATTATATTGCTCTAGCTGTATTTGAATTTTGGTAATTTTGAAAACTAAATACATGTGAAACATGTCATTTCTTGACTGGTGCAAAAACAACACAAAAGAAGAAAGAAAAGCTAGTGCTAACGTTTTTCACCCTAATTATACAATTGTTTGACTAGCTAAATAAAAGGCAGTCCGGTATACAAAGCTCCGGCTATGTATGGAATTCGGGGGAATGATCTGATCAGTAGCGAAGCCAGGAATTTTTCTAAGGGTGTTTAAACTTGAACGAAGTGAAAAAAAATTATCGACAAAGGGTGTTCAATATATGTTATATACCTCTAAAATTTAATATTTTACCTATATAAACCGTGTAATTTTTCAACAAAGGGTGGTCAATTGAGTAATAATTGCACGGGGCGTCCTATTTGGTCGCCCTCATTTAACCTATACCCATTTTTTAAAAAAAATTAATTTATACTCATTTTTTAAACAATTTCAGCCCCCTTTCTCCTCCCCTTCTCCTCCTCAAGTTGTAACACCTGTATAGTGCAGCAATGGAGTCCTCTTGAAGCGACCACGTATCCTAACAACCAAAAAACTCAACTCCTATTTTCAGGAAAAAACCAGACATGCAACCATCAATACTACACGCAAAAGCAGTGGAACTCTAATTACTCTCAGCTGACCTTAATTAAGTTAATCAAATAATGGCGAACGGAAGGGGTGGCAGAAGCCTAATGGGACCATTCTTAGTCATAAACTTGGTAGTTTATTTAATAGTACTAGGACTTGCTGCGATAAATACATCGATGGCGAACAAAATCACCCTCGTATGTTAGCTACTTCTTCATAAAATAATGTTGTGTAGAGCTCTGTTTGACAGTATAGTTTGTTTAATTTTGTGTTTGTTCAATGTGAATTATGTAACAGATTTAGGAGGGAATCCATCAACAAGTTTTATGTTGATGTTTGCATTGATTGATTACTCTAGAGCTGAAGTTCACCAGTTACAAATAAAAACTTCAGCTCTAGAACTGAAGTTCGCCAGTTACAAAAATAAAAACTTCAGCTCTAGAGCTGAAGTTCGACAGTTACAAAACAAAAACTTCGCTAGTTACAAAACAAAAACTTCAGCTCTAGAGCTGAAGTTTCCCAATTACAAAAATAAAAACTTTCTCAGTAACTTCAGAAGTTCGACAATTACAAAACAAAAACTTCAGCTCTAGAGCTGAAGTTTCCCAATTACAAAAATAAAAACTTTCTCAGTAACTTCAGAAGTTCGACAATTACAAAACAAAAACTTCATCTCTAGAGCTGGAGTTCCCCAGTAACAAAAACAAAACTTCAACTCTAGAGCTGAAGTTTGTCAGTTACAAAACAAAAACGTCGGCACACTTCAGTCCCGTCTACTAGAATGCTGAAGTTTTGCGTGATTGTCTTTGCTACTTCAGCTCCGTATGCTGAAGTTACGCGAAAAAGTGAGTACGCTTGCAATTGTTTTTGCAAAGCGGGCATAAGTTAAAACGTGACCCAAATTGCGGGTATAAATGCAAATGCCCCATCATTGACCACCCTTAAGTGAATGTAGCTTCGTTCTTGAATCGGATCATAAGGGTTTATTGTACGCAGCCTTACCCTATATTTCTGCAAGAGATTATTTTTACGGCTTAGAACCCGTAAGCCCTGATCTCATGACTAGCTAAATAGAGGAATTAAAATAATGGAAGAAAAATTAAGGACCAATAAGTCTCATTAGTACTTGAGTGATCAGCAGACATATCCACCTAAATTCTCGGCTAAATTATTCAGTATAATTTTTGTTTTGACCGGATTATAGTGGCAGGTTTGAATATGATATGGATAATCCAATCAAGCTACTGACATGTCGAGAAAATAGAAAATAGAAAAGATAAAAAACATTAAATTTGACGTGAAAAATCCTTCAAATACACATGTAATTCATGTATGTTGCCAATTTGAAGGATTTTCCACATTAAAATTTGGAGTTCTTTATCTTCTTTATTTTTGGAATTTGTCTCCTTCTCGACATAACAACTACATGTATCTCCTGCACTAATTTTGCTCCCGCAATTTTATTTTATGTGATATTTCTTTCTTAGACTATTTCAGAAAAGAATAAATTTTTTAATACGTAAGATAATTAACCTTAAACTTTCAATTTTACCCTAAAATATAATTTTATAGTTACACCAATTCATGGCATATTTAAGACCACTAATTTTAAAAGTTTTATAATAACACAAATATAATAATAGTATATTTAAACGACTAGTTAATTTCAAAAATATTTCTTTCTTTTGTTAATTATGTCCAGTCAAAACATTTTGGCTGTCCTTTTCAAATTCAACTGGAATATTAGGCACTGCATAGAATTAAGGTAGATGAGTGTCTTTCCTAGAAGTGATCTTCTTTTGTCCATTTTGTCTAAAAATTTTAAGACTTAACTCTAGTTGTGTTTTTCTTGTCTATCTTTGTTTCCTTTTCTTAAGATTATTTTTGGTGGGTCGCATAGCGGTTAATGAATCGGTGAAAACTGAAAACCATAAGAATCAGACTTCAAATTTCAACAGAAATAAAAAAAAACGACAGATAATTTATATATTTTCTTTCTTAATTCAGGGAAGAAAATACATAATTCGCACAACAACAACAACAACAACAACAACCCGGTTTTTAAAAATGGGGTTTGGGGAGGTAAGGTGTACGCAACCTTACCCTGATCTTGGAAGGGCAAAGAAGATATATTACATATAGAGTTACAAGCAGGGGCGGAGCCACCTTATAGGAAGGGGTGTTAAATAACATCCCTTCGTGGAAAAAATACATTGTGTAGGTAGGTACGAAAATAAATTATATGTATATATTATGTATTAACTCCCCTTAATTTCCTGATATGTTTGCTTTTATATATTTTGATACTCCTTAATGAAAATTCTGACTCCGCCACTAATTACAGGTAGAATCCTAGGTGGGATACCAAATAAGGGCATTGAATTCAAAGGTGTGATCTAACACAGTTAATAAAGTGGATAGAAAATTAGGAATCAAATTCATGCAGCATAAACAAAATAACTTTAGATGATTTCTTCTTTTTTTTTGGTAAGTAAATTTTGTATTAATCACCAAGTATATATATATATATATATATATATATAGTGGGAGACAAAGCCACACCTGAGAAAGAAAGCTATTTGGCCTGTTTTGTGCATTTTGTTAAGAGACAAAGCATCTTTCCCTGTCATATCATACTTTAAGGGGAATAGTGGAGATTCTTTGGAGAGAAAGATAAAAGAAGGCTTAAATAAGTTGTGTCCAGTCAAACATGTTCACATAAATTGAAATGGAGGGAGTATTTTTTTCGGATGATCAAAAGGCTTATTTATCACAGTGTTTCTAAAGTTATTCTTATCAACCGCAGAATGTTAGTTTGTTCCAATAAATAGTACTTCTTTCGTTCCAGTTTATGTGAACCTATTTTATTTTATTTTTTGTCTGTTTCAAAAAGAATGAGCCCTTTCTAAATTTGGAAACAATTTAGCTTAAATTTATAATTCTAACTTTAATAAGAAGCTTTTATAAACATACAAATACTTTGAACCCTTTTTGACTTGTTTAGGACCACAAATTTCAAAAGTCTTTATTTTTTCTCAAATTTCGTGTTCAGTCAAACATGTTCACATAAATTGGAACGGAGTAGGTAGTAACAACTAAAAGTTCAGTAATTCATTGACATGATAGAATAATGCAAAGAGGTAGGAATTTCAATTGTTTTAACTTTCGACGGTAAGTATAACAAGTACTATATGCCACGGATAGTTCTTTAATTAGTAGAAAATAATCTAAATTGTATTATTACGAGGTTAATGAGTAATCATCACATTTCCTTTATAATGTATGAGCAATATAATAATTATATTTGGTATGTTTATTTTTAAAGTCAAATTACATTCATTTAACTAATCCGTAAAAATGCGTTCAGATCGCACTAAAATATATATATTATAAGCAAAAAAAAAAGGAATGATTTGACTTCACACCTACTAGCAAATATAGACTTTATAATTGGGAAAAATTAAAATTGCATTATTCATCCAAAGTCGTAAAGAAACTAAAACTAATTGCCAGAGGAGGGGGAAGAATAATTAAGTAATAAGTATATACTTAATTTTTTTTTTCAATTTATCAAAAATTTGATTAAAGAAAATTCTTAAAATCTTTCATAAATCACATGGCTTAAATCTGTCAGAACAAAAAAAAATTATTTCTTTTAATTAGCGTATTCATTTACCCGTTAATTTTAACCAAAAAAACATATGCTAGTTATTTTTCGAAAAAGTTGTTTGCTAATAGACCTTTGGACTATTCGCTTTTGTCGTCTTTTACCGACTAAAAGTCTCAATATCTAAGTTCTCTTTTATTTGACGAATCACTTTGATCTTTACAAAAGTTCAAGAGACATGGCAGTTTCCACATTTAAGTCCTATCATCAGTGCCATGATACTAAAACGGATCCGATCGTGATGGCATCTATTGTGTGAGAGTAGGCCAGTCTATACAAACCTCAAAACCAATCAAATAATTATAATAAGCCATTTAAAAGTTATTAATAAGCTAACATCCCAAAATGTAAGGTGGAATAGAACAGTGCGAAAACAAAATACAGCCCGACATCGGGGTGTCACCAATCATGAGCAACTATAACTCGTCTAGGAATATGAAAAGACAACATAGTCTGAAACAAAGCTAA